AATTAATAGATTTTAAAAATCCCAACAAACATGTATGCTTCTGAAGTTTTCAATGGTCATATTCCAAGCGGAATACTTCTATGTTGTCTCATTTGGTTAATTATACAGATTTTTCTGTTAAATTATCTACCATTTAAACTAAATCAACAAAGTCCCTAGGTGATTTTATAAAATTATGGCTACTTGAAAAGAATATATATACTGTTTGTATTAGCCTACAGAGGACTGAAGACATTAGCATTTGTTTACTTGGTAGTAAGGAGAGAGCACAGAGGCATAAGGAAGATTAATTGATTTGTCTTACATGTCTCATATTGTTTCACTGATTGTAGCAAATGCTTTTTAACTTCTAAGTTATAAGATAAAAATGAGTGTTTTCTTTTCACTTCTTTCTCTCTCCCTTCTTCTCTCCTTCCTCCCTTTGTTTCCCCCCCTCCCTCCCTTCCACCCTGCCTCTCTCCTTTTCTTCTTACCTTTCTTCCTCTGTCCCCCCTCCCTCTTTTCTTTTTGCTCTTTCCACTTTTCTTTCTTTCCTCACCTCTCCTTTCTTCCTTAATTCCCTACGTATTCCATTTCTTCATTCTTTTTTGTTTTCTTGCTTTAAAGAAAAACATATTGTCTCACATTTCATCTCCATTAAATCTATTTGACTCATAGTAAGCATATATTGAACTTTCCAACACAACATTCTTTTATTTGATGTTCTTATGCCACTGTATTCTATTCTCTCCTACAGGTTTAATTAAGCAAAGTTCTATCTTTCAGGTTTAATTATAGCAAAGTTTTCTTAGACTGTTTTCTTTCATTAGGAAAGCTATGGTGATTAGAACGGACAATGAGAAAGAACTCCTGAAAGCCTATCTCACATTGTGATGGTGTGGGAATTTGTGTGTCACCTCATTAACTCTGAAGAGTGAACAACTGTTAGAAAATATTACCCCAGAGTATTTACTGGTTTATCATTGAGGGATAGTATGCCCCGACAATATGAATGCATTGTCTGTTTTAATCTTGGAGAAAATAATCTGCTTAGTTTACCAGGAAAATTTAACTGATTTCTGATGAAGAAAGCTGCTTCCTCCCATAAGTCCTCTCTCTCTACATATGATATAATCATATTGACTAAATTATCACTTTCTAATCCTAGATTTATATCAGGAAGGCACAACCTTCACTTTTTCAGTTCTTGTTCCCATCAGATCTAAGTTAGTTGGAGGTGAGATTAGCAGAGCTGCCTCAGAGGACTTTATTTTTTGTAGCAAATGCTGCTCTAATGAAGAGGAAACTTACACCTCCTCAGTGGACATGTTTATCTAGCAGTAAATTAGAAATTCACTGTCTCTATGTGAATTTTTCTACCCATCACTAATTATGCTTCTCCTGCAGTCATGTAACAGCGAGAAATCCCACATTGCACAGGAACAATAAGGAGAAGGAGAAGGAGAGAGCATAACACATTATTCCCAACCTTTACCTTTGCCATATTTTAATCAAA